TAGGGAAGCTCCATGTTTAGCAGTTTGAGGAACCTCCAAACAGTTTTCCATAGTGGTTGTACTAAGAAAACTAAGTGCTTTTAAAAATTATTTCTGAGACTCCCTTAATACCACAGTTGTTAAAGTCTCAGCACTATCAAGCTATCACCAGCTACTGCAGCCTGAGTTGTAGAACTGACCAACATGGCGCAGCTGACCTCTCCTGACCCTCCTGCTGCTCCCCTCAGCAATGTATTTCACTAGATCCCCCTAGACTGCTCCCCACTCTGTCTCTGGTGAGTCCTCTCACCCCTGTACCTGTGGCCAGTGCCCCAGTTCTTGTGTGCATAAATAAATCTTGTTAAAAATTCTATCAAAATAGCTGAAATGAAATCATTTAGCATTTAAATGATAAGCTTCAATTTTATAGCATCTCATTTCCTGTATTTCTTAAACATAATAAGAGCATATTTTCCTCAACTGTAAAATGATACTCCTCTAGCCAAAATCAAAGAAAATGTTTGTTGTCCTGTGCTTATTTCATCTCACAAATGAAAGAATTAAACATAGGCTTTTGAAAATGGCATAAACCAAACAATCCATTTTTTGTCATACTTCAACTTACCCTGGGGGAAAAAAAAACCCACACTAAACAATCTCAATGAAAAGTTTCACATTGGGACCATACACTGGATTCAACTGCAATAATCCCCACTTACTCTGTGACTATATAAAAAAGGGTAGTAAGAGGGCACCTAGTCTCTTTCTGAACTGCCTCATGTTTAAGGGCCAATGATACTAATAAATTCAGTTCAGAAAACTAGCAAATACTGTTAATCAACCACATCAAAAAATATTAAAAAGTGACTTCAACCCTTAAACATGAATTTACCAATTTATTCTGGAGGGGGTTAGGAGAGGATGTTAATCACTATTATGGATTTGAGTATTAAATTTTCACTAACTAGATGCCCATTAATTTTTCTCCAACTCAAATCACTTGGTAACTACTCTGGGGAAAAAAGGAAGTAAGTACTCTGGCCTGCTCAAATGAAAACAAGTTAGTATATTTGCTACATGATAGACATTAAGTAGTAGGAATATTAAGCATATCTGAATAAAATGGTGAAGGGATACAAAATATGCCACTATTGGGCAAAAATTATTTTGTGCTAAAGGCATCTGCGACCAACAAACACAGGAAAAATTGTTATTATCAGCCTAAAATCTTTACCTCTGCCTAAAAACAAAGACTCTGAAAAGAATTCAGCTATCATAAATCCCTTTCCTAAGGGTTTCACAACCAGGAAAGATGGACACCCATCAGGGAAGAAGTCAGTACCCAAGATAAAAAGCACCTACACAGACATTATTACAAAACTAGCTTCTCTCACCTATCTCCTAAAAGCCCATTTATCTTTCCTCAAAGTCATCTGTTTTCCCATGTGTCCTTTTCCCCCTTACTCCACCTATTAAGGTGGTATTGAAGCTCCAAATTCTAGCATCCTTTTTGAGTCATAGTCTTCACATTTTCATGTACATACATGAATAAAATCTGTCTTTTCTCTTGCTTATCTCTCTGGTATCAGTTTAATTCACAACCTCCAAACCCTCCATCTAAAAGAACTAAGGAAAAATTTTCCTCTTAACAATGAAAACCAAGATTCTTTATTAGCAGATCCCTCTAGGTACTCCAACTGGCTTTGCCAGTTCTTACCCTTTCTGATGAACTCAGGGAAGTAATTCAGTAAAGGTATGTATGAATTAGGAACCAAACTGGAGTTTATTACTCTGGCAAGAAGCTCTGATAATATATTACTATTGAATTTCTGTTCCAAAAGCAATTAGGATTTTAAGATCTTGAATCCTAATGTAAAAAACAAACAAACAAACAAACAAAACTAGGAAGAACTAGGAAGAAACTGTTCTCTTTGGTTTAATATAACTTTAGTCTTCAGAAATTTCACATATTCTGCTCCATGGAACTACTAAGAGTTCTATCATTTTAGATTTTAGATAGGTGACAACTCACAAAGAACACCCTTTATAAATATGATGGCAAAGCTACTGCTACAGATCAATAGCTGTCTTCTATACTCTTGGGATTCCACAAATGCGTCAGCATTAAATTGGCAAGTATACATTTATGCTCTAAAAATCAAAGGCTTTCAACTGCATTTTTTTTTTTTTTAAAGTACAGCATATTCCACTGGGAAGCAATTAAAACCTTACCTCCAGGGATCTTACTGTAGCCTGCATCTCAGCCAACTGCCGCACCTGAATTCTTTGGACATTTTCTACCTGAGCATCAGAATTCTCTTTTTCAGCCCTTAATTCTACTACTTCGGTCTCTAAGCCTTTTAGTTTCTGACACAAATGGGCTTTTTCTCGTGCAAGTTGTTCCAATCGTTTGCTGTCTTTTGTGGAATCAACACTAAGGAGCTGGTTATGTAGTTCTTCTTTATCTTTCTCCAGTCTTGCAATCTGGTTTTAAACAAAGCACACAATTTTAAATTACTGAATTTTCAGTCATGAACATGCTCTACAAGTGAATAAATTGAAAAGTATACAGTATGAAAAAGAAACTCAGGTGGTGAGGGAAAAACACAAAGAATATAAATCTAAAATGCTACATTCTTCATGTTGAGGGAAAAAGCATCTGTCCTACTTTCCTACTATCTTCCACAGGGGAGAGAATAAGTTGTGTCTAGCAACTTTGGTCTTCTCACTCCTACTAACCATGAAGCTGGTTTACTTTCAAAGGTCTTCCTAACCTCTGAGGTACTTCACAGGTATTTCATCTCTGCAGCAGAGGGGGCAAAGTAATCAAAACTCTCTCCCTTTCCTGCTCTCCCCAACTCCCCTCCACCACTGCCATCACCAAATCTTTGAAATTAACAGAGTAGCTCCCACTTTTTCTCTTTTTTAATATCAATTTTTTCCAGATTCAATTTAATTAAGGAATTCAGCTATTAAAAAAAATATATTAGACATAGATTTAAACAGCAGGGGTGTTTGTAGCTAGGGTGAGCACAGAAGGCTCAGACTAGGTTGCTCTACAACCTAGTGGCCAAGCAACAACTGATTGCTCACATTGTTATGAATGAATCTAAGAAGTGTTAAGACCTCTAAACCAAGGCAGGATCTGTTTTCCTCATCTATAAAATGAGGTTACATTGGGGACTAGTTTTTCCAGTTTTAACATGTACAGCTTCCAATTTGGAATTAAAGATGGCAATATAGTTAGAGCTTTGCAGTGGGCAAACACCATTTTTTTCCAGAAAATAAAATTTATCCACGGCAACAACTGAAGAATTCAGAGTTCAGCTGAAAGAATTCAAAAGCCCAATTAATGAATGTCTGTACTGTTTTCCCTCCCACCGGTTATATATAAACATTATTCCCACAGTTTAGTCACTACCTTTTTTCTTTCATGTTCTCTTCCCTTCAGCTACTTGTGTGACTTTGTGCAAGATACCTGTGCACTTTGGACTCAGTTAAAATGAAGGGTTTGGGCTGAATGACCTTTCAGATACCAAATAGCTTTTGCACCAATTACTCAATACAGTGTTAATGTGCTGTACAGGAGGTGTAACAGTTTGTCTAGATCAGGATTGTAACTCCAGTTCACACAAGAGTGTTTCTGAGTACTTGCTATAGATCAAGAGCTGAACTAAGTGTGCCACACATAAAATTTTATCTTGTGACAATTTCTCCTATAGCCTTCATTCTACATATGGGCAGACAGGTAATAGTCCTAAGGAGCATGTGTTGTAGGTTATAGAAATTGTGGGACAAACCTCACAGTGGCAGGAGTAGAACTATTTATTATCCTGAAAGCAGAACTATCAAATCATTCCTATGAAAATGAGCCTTGTAATTTCTCTACTTATGTGTTCATTTAACACATGTATTGAATATTTACAATGTAATCCGGTACTGTTCTGGGTCATAAAAATACATTAGAGAACCTAGCAGACAAGCAAATCATGAAACCAGTGTTAGGAAGCTTATTATATTCAGTCACTGCCAAGACACCACTCTTGTACCAGTTTTCTGGGCACAGACCTTAGACACATCCTCAGCAATTTCCTTCCACTCTCGATCAGAACCACATGTCATCTTCCTGGATATACTCAATTTGTGGTCCTCTCAATCCTCTCTAAATTTCTGAAAGGTTTTGTTTGAATTTCTCTTTTGTGACATTTATCCAAATCTGTCTACAGTTATCATTACATTTACTTTATTCTCTTCTAGAACATAAATTTACTTGACAGGAAGTATGATGTATTAACCAATTTTACTTTTTAAAAAATTGTTGAAGGGTTAGGGAAGAGTTGATCTTTGCAAATGATTATAGCACCTCTGCTTCTCCAAGGCACACAAAAAGTAAGTGTAGTCACTACTCAGTAACCAAGCGGGATTATTTTTAGGACCCAGTCAGATACTAAACTTCATGGCTCAAGTCACTTATATAAAATGGCATCATATTTACACATAACTTAGGCATATCCTTTCAAATACTTTAAATCTGGTTGTTTGAGTTTGAGTTCTTTGTATATTTGACTTATAGTACTTTATAAGCTATGTCTTTTGCTAATATTTTCTCCTACTCTTAAATTCTTCTGTTGAAAGTATCATTCATAGATCAGAATATTTTGATTTGAAGACGACTAGCTTATCATTTATTTTTTTCACAGATTTTGTATTTGGTATTCTATCTATAAAGATATCACTGAATCCAGGATTATCTAGGTTTTCTACTATGTAATATGTTTTACATTTAATTGTATGATCTGTTATGAGCCAACACATTTGCTTTGTTTACTATTATTTTGTGTGTTTCCAGAAGAACTGGAATGTGGGCCAGAGGTTAGGAGGGATGAGAGGATTCACTAGCAACAGTAGGGAGCAAAACAGGCAGATTTACTGAAATACACTGCTAAGGGAAACAGCAGGAGACAGGCGAGGTCTGCTGCACTGTATCTTGGTTAATTCCCCGGCCAGGTATCAAACTCAGGCTGTAGCAGTGACAGCACTGAGATTTAAGTACCAGGTCACTAGGGAGAGGCCTATGAGCTAAACATTTGAAGAGTACATAGTAGACGTCTAGATTTCTTTTATTTTTTGCATGTATATGTCTAGTTGTTCTAGCACCATTTATTGAAAACACGGTATGTCTCCATTGATTCCCTTTTCTCTGTGAAAGATCTGCTTACTACTATATTATCTGCTTACTATATTCAGGCAGGTCTATTTCTAGATTCTTGGGTATGTTATTTGATCTACTTGGCTATTTGTTTGCCATAAGCATAATGTTCTACAGTAAGTCTTGAAGTCAGGTAGTGTTACCTTTCTACGTGTTCTTATTCAATATTGTATTGGCTATTCCAGAACTTTTCCTTCTCTATATAAACTTTGGTATCAGTGTGTTGACATCTACACAATAATATGCTAAGTTTTGATCAACATTATACTAAATCTGTAAGTCAAACTAAGAAGGAAAATATCTGAACAACACTGATTCTTACTAGTTATGAATACTACTTTCCATTTAAGTAGTTTTTATTTGATGTAATCCAGAGTTTTATAGTTTATATAAATCTTGTACTTTAGATTTACATATAAATAAATTTTTCATATGATGCAGTACCTGCTGCCCGGTTTTTAAGATCTGAATACTTTCCCCACTGAATTACTCCTGCTCCTTTCATTCAGTCTACCTATACACTCTCCTGTACCTAAAATCCTCTATATGCTCTTCCCTATTCTATGCCAAATAATGAAACGAGTTGTAATAACATGTTGAAAACAACAGTACCGCTTTGAATACAACTCTATGAGCAACTTAATTTCCTCTGTATAATGTTCCAAATTTAACAAGTTCTTACAGCCAAATGCAGTGAGAAATAATAACACAGTATACAGTATATCTCTTAAGATAAAGGTATCATCTTTCATATATTATTATTATTAAATCCAGAATATCATGAAGGAGCGTGAATTCCTGCAGTACTTCTCAGGAAAACACTTAATTGTAAAATTGGAAGATGGTTAAAGTGGGCTTTACTTTTAAGTTTCATATGTGATCTGCAATCATCTCACTGTTACTACTATTGTATATAGAAAGTGGAACATACAGTAATGAAAGGAAAGCCAACATCCAGTTACCCACTAATTAACACTGCTCCTGCATAATCAACTGGGAAGCAAAAAGAAAGCAATTTCAATTTTACAGAAAGTCTTACATTTTAGCCTTTATGAATTATGGCTTCCTAGAATTTCTAGGAAAGTTATCAGATAAATAATGAAAATTAATAATGCCCCAACAACCCCTTAAAAATTTTCATGAATATCATTTGGTCTTTTATGGGTGAAATAAATTAAGTCATCAGATTTCAGATGGTTTCATTAAAAAACAAAGCAAAGAAACTAGAGAATATAAATAATCATTACCAGATAAACACATCATCATTAGACTTAAAAAGCAAAGTATAAAATAAAGCACCACTATCATTAACCTTGGGGGATACTTGTTAATAAACCAAATCTACATTTTAATATGGAAAAGTTCATTATGCCAATTTTTCACAAGAAATTTTTCATGAATTTCTGTGAGACTTTAGGCAAGTCACTTAATCAGAATTCTTATTTAAGGGAGGAAAATCAATCCTGCCCCACCTGTGATCATTGCACCAGCAGATCACACAGGACTAATGCATTTCAAGTTGTAGAGAATTTTATACAAGCAAAAGACTATTGAAAACATTGATCCCTTTCTAGTTATATATTAGTAATGTGACCAAATAATCCAAAGCTCATACAGCTTCTCAGGTATTAAATAATCATGGAATAGTGTGCTCACTGGTAAGAATAAACCAGTTTGATTCACTTACTAATCTGGTAAAGCAAAGTGTATTTTAATTCTGAATTCCAAAAAATAACATTAAGTACATAATGCAAATGTGCTGGTACCCAGAATCTTCCACATTAACTATAGTCATTGAGCTATGTTTTATGAATTCAACTATTATTTAAATACTGTAGACTAAAATTGGTATTTCTGTCTTTCTACTGTGAAAAATCATCCAAAAACAACACAACGAATGAGGAATACACACCCTGTTTTTGGAAAATCTAGGAGAAAAACTACAGACTACCAAAGCAGCAGAGTCGGAGCAGCAGGGATGCACGCTGTCGCAGCAGAAAATGTTGTAGTTGCAGACTTAAAGTCAAAGTACACCTTCTTGAAGGTGACCCCAAGTATAAACCCTTTACTTAGATCACTGGAAACAAGGCAGTGGGTTGACAGCCAAAGCTCTCCTGGATATGGTTTGGTTCTAAGGGGACATGCTAAATAAGGAATCAAACAAACTATATTTACAAAGATTAGCCTGTTTCTGTGGCTATCAGAAAAAAGTGACATAACTACCTCTATTCACCGAGGTAAAAGAAGCAAAGAACAGCTGAAGTAGAACATCCCCCCAAAAAACTGTTACAGACATAAAAATCATGATAAAAACCTTTCCATTAATAAAAACCTATGTAGTCAGCACTAACAGGATTTACAAAAATATACAATCAAAATCTTACCAACTACTTAGTTAATGACTGAATTAGTATAATTATTACTCACCTCTGATTCATATTTTATTTTTTCTTCTTCTAAAATATGTGCAAATTCTTTTTTCTGGTGTTCAAATTCTGACTTAAGAAATGTATGTTCATAACGAAGCTGATTATACCCAGCTCTATACTTTTCCACTTCCTGAATTAAAAGAATGAAATTTATCACAAACATACATGAAATATATTTATACTCCAAAAATCATTTTTGCAAATGTAATTTTAAACTGCATAATAGTGAGAGATATTCTAAAAGTAAAAAATAAATTTAACAGAAGTATAAACCTTGGAAAAGTTCTCATGACACATTCTACATATTCCTGAGGAAGTAAGTACCTTTAAAACAAGCTATCATCCAATTAAACTACTTTTCACTGACTCATAATAAACATGTACAGCATGTAAAAAGTTTTACTTAGGAATGTAGCATACTTTTCAAAATATATTTAGATTTAAAAATTAGTTTTGTAATAAAACATAAAATACCACCCTAAAAATCAGAGCTTGAATTCAAAAGATAAATTTTTAAACATTTAGTATAGCAATCTAGGATCAACCCCACATTATAATAGTTTAATCCACCACACCAGTTTAAAGAATATAGTAGCATCAACTCTTCTGACTAACCAGGAACACATACAATTCCCTTCTAAGTGCCAATCCTGCTCCCTAACACTATGAAAGCTGCTGCCATTCTGGATCTTAATAAATACTATGGTAAAAGAGCAGAAAGATGAAGATGACACTATTCAACATGCATCAGGAAATTAAGTAACAAAGAAAAGGTGCCTTCTGAAATCCTGAGATCACTGTAAATCTTCAGTTAAAAGATTTCTGTTCTAAACCCATTCAGCCATGTTTCATAATTCTGTTGGTGACATACCGTTATACATTACTTATTTATTTTTCAATCAACTGTTGTTACATATAGACTGACTGTATATATGACAGTGGCCCCATTATATAAAATACAGCCTAAGTGTGTAGCAGGTATTCCACCTAGGTTTGTGTACTTTGGACTCCACAATATTCACACACAAAATCACCCAACAATACATACCTTAGAACATATCCCCATCATTCAGCAATATATGACTATATTTAGCTCTTTAAATGCTTTTACTGTATTTGATCATCTGGAGTTTAAATGATTTTGTTTATATCCAAAAAATTAAATCTATTTCCAAACCATATGCTTTGGTTATCCACCAGAAGAATATTCAAAAGATCATTCTGTCAAGCCAGTAAGTCATTTATAAATGACTACAATAAATCCTCATTATAATGGGAGGATTCCACAACCTGGCTTGTGTAGTGGCAGCGTCACTAGACTACAGCTTTCCCAAGGGGTCCATTTTGAATAGAATATATATTCTTAAGGTTCAGGATATTTGTTAGATAAGATAACACATAAAATGTCTATAATATGTTTAATATCTGTTATCTTTTTCCTGTACCCTTTACTAAGCATTTAGTCAATTATACCAAATTTCCACGTAAGGACACATCTCAATCTGAAAGAAGATTTAAATTATCACTTTTCTGGGGTTGTATTAAATTCTTTCCTCCAACAAATAATTGAGTACCTATTATATGCTAGTTACTGTCCCAGAAACTTGGAGTAAGAGAGATAAAAGTTCCTTCTCTTATGCAATTTACATTCTAGGTGGTAAAAGGAAATAAAAAGTAAGCACAATAAATTTTACATAACATATTAGAAGAAAAATACTAGATGGGGAAAAATGAGTATAGCAGGGTAATTGTGGAGTTAAAGGATAAGGAGAAAATGAGAAAAGCAGATTGCATTACTAAATGGGGACAAAGGTCAGTCAAAGTAGGCCTCATAGAAAAGGTGAAAATTCAGCAAATACTTAAGAGTTGAGAAATTTACCAAGAAATATCTAGGAGATATTTCTAACAGAGCAGAAGCAGCTACTACAGCAATGGCTCTTGAATGGTACCATTTCATTTTTAGAATGTCAAAGAAGCTTCAAAGAGACCAGGGAAACTATGGAGGGGAGGAAGTAGAAGAGATCATGGAACCTGATCCTTAGGCCACTCCAAGGACTCTGAATAAAAAAGGGAGCTACTACAAGGTTTCTGAGAAAGGAAATGATGCTTTTCCTCAAGTCTTTCAAAATCATACAGAGAAAAAAAAAATTGTTGCTTGTATATAAATTACTTACCTCATCTAAATTTCTAAAATGCTCTCTCATTGGAGCTTCTAATTCTTGTTGTATCTGAACTCTTAACGATTCCAGTTTTTGTGGTGTTAATACCTAATATGTAGGAAAAACCAATATTAAATATGAAATCACAAATATTAAAATCAAGAAGTCATCAAATTTCAGAGCTTCTCTCCTAAAAATGACAAGGTAATTCAATTCATAGCAATTCACAATATACCTAATTTTATAATAATAATTTTATTATATAAATAAATTATAATTTTATTACATAAATAGAACTATCACATGAAATAATTAAGAATGTCAATTTCAAACCCTCACATATATCAAATTTTTTGTTAACAAGAGGTAAAATCAATTGCTATTATTGTTAGGAATAAGGATGTAGGCAGTAGAAATTTCATGTTGGAAACACTGGCTAATAGTTTACTTTCTAAAACAAGCAAAATAAAGGTAAAATAATTTGGCATACCACAAAGAATACCTCAGACTTACTTTCAATCTGAAAAGGTTGACTGTTATTCTGACCACCTACCCAAATTAATGTTGACTCCTTCCTGTTATATTTTCCTATAGAACTCATATTTCAGGAAGTAGTTAATATTGATTTAAGCTCTGTAAGGTCACTCAGAGTTAGTTTTTATTCAGCATGATATTCCCAACACTTCACACTAATGCTTGGCACACAAGTACCACTCAATTACTTTTTGAATGAATGAAAAATGATGTTTGTTTAAAAATGCCTAATTGGGAACTCCTGGTGGCACAGGGGTTAAAGACAGAACTATTGAGCTATCACTAGCCACTGCAGCTCAAGTTTGATACCCAGGCCACCAGGAAGCTAACCCACATGCCTTAGCATACCTCTCCTGTCCTGCCCACTACTCCCCTCAGCCCTCAGCAGTGTATTTCATTTCATCCACCTATTCTGCTCCCCACTCTGTCTTTGGTGAATGCTCACACACCCCACATCTCTGGCCTACACCCCAGTTCTTGCATGCATAAATAAGTCCATCTTTAAAAAAAATGCCTAAGTGTACTGATACTAACCCCTGTAATTAAGAATATGTTCAGTTAAATTCATTTATTCATCTATATTCCATATAGCCTAAGTATTTTACTGAATCAATGTCTATACTTTAAATAAACCATTGTGTAACATACTATTACCTATCACCTACAAACATGCTGCTCTAAATACCTAACATATTAACTTATTGATCCCCCACAATAATCCACACTATAGATACATCATCATCCCTCTTTTATAGAAATTGAAGGACAGCAGGTGCTATTTGGAAATTAAATGAATATAGAAAAAAACACCACTGGTAATAATTTGAAATGTGTAGTAAGTTTTACAGTGCTATAGTTTAACTGTGCTTTGTTAAGTAAATGTATAAATATCTAAAAAACTGTAACTGGTCCTCAGTACCAACTTTTGGTTGAGAAATTCCATTTACTTTATATTTTGTCACCAATTATGTACAAATACTGCTTTTACAGCTTTTTAAGTATCACCTTAGAAAAATATTTTTCACCCTAGCTTCAGTTATAAGACTTAAAGGAATATTAGAAATCCTTTCCTTTAAATATATTATCTCTAAAGTTATATAAATTCAAATAGGACTTTGCTCCAGTTATTCTTAATAGTGAAACATTATTTAAATCAGAGTAGGTAATATAATAGCAACTGACTTACACTTATTTCATGGCTAAATCCTACCAGGTAGCTAACATCCTAGAATATCTGAGAGATTAAATGATACTACCTGGATATATAATAAGATATTCATTAAGAACACATAATTTACCAGAACTACTAACTTTCACTAAATTATCTACCTTTATGCTAAGTCAAGTATATTTTCTTACCTGCAACTTCATTTCTTCTAAGTCTTTAGTTTTCTCTACTAATTCCCCTCTTAATTCTTCAAGCAGCAGCTGAAATTTTTCCTGGTTAGTTTGCTTTTCATTTAATAGGTGCTTGAGTTCATTTTGTGATTTTATGTACTCATCCTGTAACCTGGTATTTTAAAAAAATTCAATTTTAAGTATATTCTTTGCTTTCTAATTGCAATACTTTATGTAGTTGACCACCAAAGAACAAGATTAAAATCCATTCTATTAAACTTGTAACTTCTTTACAGTTTCGTTTTATTAGTACTTTTGTTTCTGAATGCAATTAAAAAATACACATTTAGCCACCAAAATACATTTGATTTTATATGGCCAGTTACTTTAAAAATCAACTTTAATGCAAAATCTACTTGACATCAGTTTGAATAAAGTAGTTTTAAGGCAAAAATTTTACTATCATTAAAAGTTGCAAATGTATACACTGCAAAATAAAATTATAGTTATGTAACAAAGAAAACATTCAGTTAATTTTTTAATCAAGTCACTAGTGTCCAAATTTAAGTAATTTACCTTGTATGTTCAGCTTTCAGAGTCTGATAATTAGTTTTATGATGTTCACATCTTAATCTCTCATCAATTAACATTTTTTGGAGCTCAGATTGAGAGTTTGTTAGACCACTGTCTCCACCTGGCGGAAAATTGGTGGGAAAAGTGTCCATATTGGTAAATGAGCTGACAACCATGTAAAATTAAGCTCTGGTTTTCTTAATATCAGTTTTCTTTCCAAGAGTGTATTCCACTTCTTTCTTGCTCAGACTGTTAAGAAGCCAAATACCTGCACACAGAAATACACAATTAGTGATCAGTGAGTTCCTTGAGTGTTATATATTTTTACCACTTACTGTTCTCCTTATTAACTTCCATAAAACCCAATTTTCAGATTTTTCATGAAACAAAATTTAACAAATCATATGTTAATTTTTTTTACTTCATGCAAAATTTCTTTAATATCAAAATTACATTTCAAGTATTAGCCTAACTGAAAGTACAGTGCTTTCCACGGCAGGTACCACTGGAACCACAAATACTACTCATGGGAAAAACCTTTAGGCACTTGTAAGTAGCTGGGGATAATTCTGGTCTTCACAAAGATAACCATGAGCAGTAACTATGTCTATGATTAATGCCTCAAAGAGCTTTGTGCTTTGTTTTGATACAAAGTGAACTGTATTTGGGCTACAGATTCAGATGAGAAATCAGTCAATGCAAACATTAGCTCCTATGTGTTATAAACTATGTTAAAAGTAGGACTCTGAATCACTGAGCTACCCCAAAACTGCTCCCCCAATATTATCAAAGTGTTTGCTGTATCTTGAAATAAAAACAGTAAAATGTCCTTATTGTAAGTAATCAGAAGCCAAAATTTTTATCAGAAATGTTCTGTCCCCTTTAACTTTAATTTTTCTCAAAACTAATGTAAATGTGTGTGCATTTTCCTAATAGCCTCTCCCTTCGTCATTGATTACTTCAGATTACCTTTTATTGCTACAAGAAAATAAATATTGGGCCGCCATGTCAACACAAGGGGTTAAAGCTCAGTAGCACTATGAAACTATCTGTAGCCACATGAGCTTGATCCCCAGCCTGGGAGGAGACCCACATGGGTTGGCAGACCTCTCCTGTCCTGCCCACCACTCCTCTCTCATCAGTGTATTTCAGTCAATTCGCCTGTTCTGCTCCCCACTCTGTCTCTGGTGAATCCTCTTACCAGCCCCACACCTGTGGCTTATACCCCAGTTCTTGTATGCATAAATAAATAAATCTTTAAAATATATATATATATATATATATATATATATAGCCTATGCAAAACAACCATTAAATTACTCGTGGTTGTAATATGTCATTTCTAATAAATTAGTATACTGTCTTCATTTAAATTAAGATTTTTCAAACTAAAATTGGGGTTGCTTTGATTTCTTGCCCAGGTATATTTTAATAAAGTGTGAAATCTTCAGAGATACTTTACTCCTAATTCTTACATTAAACATGCACCAAGATTCAACCTTTGCAAATGCAGAGCAGTCTGTAACTGCTGCTACATTAACTCTGCCAAAAGCATGCATTTGCCATAGGATAAACTGGCATATAATTTTGATTTACTTTTTAAGAGATAGAAACATACAATAAATCTATCTCAAACTTTCTAATAATGCCACCAAAAGGCATAGTGTTAGTTAGTAAAAGCTGAAACTACATTTGAAAAATCAGTAACTATTTTTAAATCTCACTGCTAATGAAAAAAATTTCCAAATTAAAATCAGTTGTGTTTTAGGTCCTAATGAGTGAACAGTAAATATTCTTGCTGTCTGTACTTTAAAATTGTATCTAATCTCCATGTAAATAAAATTGATTAAGATCATAACATCCAAAAACCTGTTAAAATGATATATCTCCATTCCTTTTGGCATTATCATCTACTAGAAGTATTCTTCAAGACTTCCCCTAACTTCAGGATATCTTCTTCCAATAGCCACCACTACCATCACCTAGTCTCCAACTGTAGTTTCCACATAAGAATATGTGTTTTGCCTTGTATTTCCAAACCAGGAAGATTTCTTGTTTATGATGATATTAGCAACTTTATTCCCTTTTCATATGTTCATTTTAGTGACTATAAAAGCTAGAATATACTATCATCCATACCAAACTAAAAACAAATTATATTTTTCCCCATTTCCCCAACACCCTCCCCCCCCAAAAAAAAATTACTTTTGTTATTGTTCTGTTTTGCAAATACACAGACGCACACAAAAATCAATACTAATGTTTCTGGAACTTTTCCTTTATCAAAATGATAAATCTGCTTTCCCTCTAAACCAACGCTAGGAATTTATCCTATAAACATAGTTGATTGAGTACCAAGTAGATAATTGCACAAGAATTTTCTTTGAAACATTTGTTTATAATAAAAAAATGTCACGAATAACCTAAACTTCCATAAATCTAAGTACATCTACACTTAGAAAGCATGTTAGATCTATCCTCATAACCCCGATAGCATGATAAAGTATAAATAATATATATACATACATTAACATACAGAGAATCAAATAATATACAATAAGCTGATGATAGCAGTAACTTCTGGGAAAATGCTAATGTAGGGATTCTCCCACAGGACAACCTAGACCTCGCACTTTCAATATTCTGTCAGACCTTCTATTCCAAAATATTTTTCAGATAATGTATTATAATTCTAGTAAGTATAGTATCACTGACATGCAAACAAGAAAGGCTGTGGATACAGAAAAATGAAAATAGTATTTGGAAACATTTTCCCCTAGAGGTACTTACAGAGACGTAACTGGGAAAATGAATTTGAAGACTGTCAAAAGATAATCAAAGAAAACAAAACTGGACTAGCAAGGAGTGGAGAAACCCTGGTAAAAATCCTTCATTTTGGATAGATTTTTCACCTTTGGAATAAAGGTAATTCAGAAGAGAGACCTTAGACTAGGTCTCAAATTGTTCAAAAGGAAAAAAAAAAATTACAAATATGTGACCATAAAAACAAAACCCAACTCGGGCCCTCCCCGGTGGCGCAGCGGGTTAAAGCACAGCACTAAGAATCTAAAGCCACTTCCGCATGAGTTCGATTCCCGCCTGCCCCGGAGGTGACCACATGGCGAGGCAGACCTCTCCTGACCCGCCCGCTTCTCCCCTCAGCAGTGTACTTCATCAGTCAGCCTGTTCTGCTCCCCACTCTGTCTCTGGTGAAGCCTCTTGCCGCCCCTGCACCTCTAGCCTGTACCCCAGTTCTGTATGCATAAATAAATAATCTTTAAAAAAAAAAAAAAACCCAACTCATTGGGAATATAAAGCAACATGAATAAAAGCCATAAGAAACAAACAATAGATACACAAGGGTCTTGTTATTAGAGCTATCAATGTTTCTAAAAGAAATATGTGTACAAGGCAATAAAAAACATTGTTTAGAATTTATGACAGAATTAGAACTGTGAAGAGTTATTAATTAAAACTCTAAAGAGTTATTAATTAAAACTAGGGCCCTCCCTGGTGGTGCAATGGGCTAAAATGCAGCACTGTGGGGATGTCCATAGCCACTGCAACTGGAGTTTGAATCCCAGCTGGGGAGGTGACCCACATGGCTCCGCAGCCTACCTGCTGTTCCCCTCAGCACTGTATTTCAGTCCATTTACCTGTTCTGCTCCCCACTCTGTCACTCTGTCTGGTGAGTCCTCTCACCCCCCTCACCTCTGGCCTGTAATCCCAGTATTTGTATAAATAAGTCTTTAAAATAAAAAAATAAATCTTGAACTGAAAAATTAACTAATATTAACAATAATTGACTATAACAGCCCAGAAGAGACATAATTTAAGAAATTGGAAAATAAGTTTTAAAAAGTATATTTAAGATGAAGGAGAAAGAGAAACAAGGATAGGAAATATAGGAAAGGATAAAAGAAATACAGAGAATAATGTTAAAATGCCATTCTAACAAATGCAACTGGAGGAAAGGACAGAGTATAAGCAAAACCTGCTCTCCAGAAGTTGAAAATTTCCCCAAACTGGTGTCAAATCTGATTCAAAAAGCTAAAAATCAAAAACAAATGAAAAAATCTTCAGTCAGTCAGAAAGAGGCACAGTATTTTCAAATAAGCAACAAAAATGCAGTGAAATCCAACAGCACACAATGTAATTACTTTGAAAGTGCTGAAAGAAAATAACTGCCAAACTCGTTCTGTAGGAGAACAAAAAATTTATTCCAAGAACGATGGCAAAATAAATCATTTTCAGATGGAACAAATTCATCCCAGAATATGCACACTAAAAGAAACAATAAAGGAGTACTAGGAAAATTGTCTTAGATGTGAACATAACTATGCAGAAATAAAGGCAGACAAGTGAAAACAGAAAATATGTGCATAATGCTAATTGAATATTGACTGCACAGAATACCTTCAGATTTTTAACATATGTAAACTTACAATATGTAAATGGTATATATAACAGTAACATAAGTGGTATATCAATCAGTAGAGATAGAATTACATTGCTTATAAACTGTATGAGGAAAAGTTAAAAGTTATCAATACTACATTTTGATAAATTAAGGATTTGTCACTGTAGTACAAAATGCACTGTTTGCAAACATAATCCATTTTGAGATCTCTAGGAAAGGGGTTGGCAAACAGGCCATGGGCCAAAACTGGCCTGCAATCCTTTTTAGTATGGCCATAAGATAAAAATGTCATTTCCTTTATGAATTTTTTTTAATAAGCATAGATGCAAAAATCAACAAAATGAGCAAATCAAATCCAAAACACATAAGTTATACATCATGAACCATTTATTCTAGGCATGAAAGGCTGATTCCACATTCAAAAATCAAGTAATGTAATCCAATATATCCAAGGCAAAAAATATATTTGATAAAATCCAACATCCATTCATGATAAAACTCTGAGTTGATAGACAGAGGAACTGCCTCCATTTAAAAAAAAAAATTTACAACTAACATTATACTTAAGGGTGACAAAAACAGATCTTTCCCATTAAGATCAAGAAACAAGGCAAGAATCTCCCTTTCGCATCACTCCTTTTGAACATGATACTGGATGAAGATTAGCTAAGAGAGAAGGACAAGAAAGGGATATAAAAGGCATACTGTTAGGAGAGGAAAATATAAGTATCTTTGGGTGCATATGATATAATCCTCTATGAAAAAGATTCAAAATAATCAGTTTTTTAAAAACCCTTCTAGAATGAATAAGCAAACATAACAAGGTTGCAGGATACAAGGTTAATATA